TACTGGTAGGATTTCTTTCAGTAATGCCGTGTATCAGCAGCGGCAGCACTACTGTGCAAAACATGGAGCGTTACTCACTTGCATTATCTGGCATTAGTTAAGTATTAAGCCCCCTTCGGCCTCCAGCAGTGACTTGTAAAGTTTAGTTTGACTATGCATACACAAAGAGAAAAAAAAGATGTTCACATACACACATCGCACTAGTCATATATCAGAGTCTCTTCCATCTTATAAACGCCAAGATTGTGTGGGTCTCAACAGGTTTCGTTAGGGTAATCGTCGTGTTTAACAGTACGAGACAGGAGGATATTTGTCCTTCACTAACAGGCATATCCGAGAGAGAACTGGCGACCTGTTGTTAACCCACACATGAACCAGCATCTATTCAAATGGCCCCTATAGAAGGAACAGGAGGCTGTATTGGACCAAATTACCGAGTAAAACACAGTGCTCTGAACTACTCAGGTTCAGAAAATGAAGGCTACTTTTTTCACATTCAATGCATACTTTTAGCACCTTTAAATCTGTGCTGTCATTGAGAATCGATGAAAGTCTCATGCGACTGGTAGAATCCCAGTACTGAAGAGATAACATTGGTTTTGAGAGTTTGAATATGTGTGCCCAACGCAAAAAACGATTGCCAGACGCTTATAAATAGTTATATTTCACAGTGTTAAAATACGAAAATAAGAAACCGTACTTGGTACTACAAGAGGTCTTGTGCATAAACCTTTGCCTACCCTAACTCTGCCCTTATTCGCCCGGAGTTTAGCATGAGGTTAGCGAAATATTCCTATCTCCATGTGTAGCCGCTAGCGTCTCCTCCTTCAAGTGGGTTCTGTCGAGGTAATCGTCGTACTTAGCAAGCGTAGTTAAGCACAAGTTGAGGCAAATGGAACAAAATTGTGCTGACTTATTAGTGACAGGCTGACCAGAGCCCAAAGATGTCAGAACTGGCGATAACAACAGAAGAATATTGGCCTTAGGTGTAATTGTATTTCTATTTCTGTCTACTCCTGAATAAGCAACGCTGAAACTGAATTGCCCCGGAGTTTCATGCATTTGACTACCCTAATGCATGAAGACCAGTTTGGTCAGTCAAACCCTAGGCAGAAGCCGAACCAACCTACGATTCGAGTCCGGGTCCAGCATTTCAAGTGTTGATCTTACAGGAATCCGTGCGGCAAGCAGTCAAGCTCTTGGTTTCTGTTCTTAATGGCCAAATTAATCCTGGTTAAAGTCGCCCGTCCTTCGGTCAGAGAGGTGAAGAGGTACCAGTGACCGGTAAATCACCGCCCCAAACGCTGAGAGTAGCCATGATTTGGGATCCTAAGTAAGGTAACAAGACAATGCAGCTCTTTCCTGCTGTATCCAAGGTAATATTAATCTCTGCCGATGCTCCTCGTCAAAGGAGGAACTCTTAAGTGTTTTTCGGAGACGACAGGTATATAATGAGGCATTGGTTCTACAGTAACTACAAAATTTGATATTGGGGCGCGAGATGACCGCCCCAGTCCTACTTTTATCCATCAGCTAGATGAGGACAAGTACACATTTCTGACTGGATGGCGCAAGTCAAATAAAAATTGCTATTGCAGTTTCGTCTTTCCTTGACGACATCGTTCAATAGTCTTTGTTAATTGCATTGCGACCGGTTCCGAGGGCTTCGGGCTAGAGCTCCACGGCAACACGGCAATGTCAATTGTCGATCCAAAAACAGAACAGGTCTGTGAACGCAAAACCTCCATGTGTCCTAAACGGTTTTCGTCACAGCCTATGTAGGACACGGATTGGAGAACATTCTTTTCAAATGGATATCTATCCAGAGGCACCTGCAGGTCCAAATGCGAAGGAAACATCTATCGAAAGTAGCCATTACATAAAGTGATATTATTTTATAGGGGTC